CATAAATGCATCATTAATTTTGTGTAATTATGACTTTATGTTTTTATTGCATTTTGTTTATGACTTTGGGGTACATTTCTGGAAAGTGTTCTTATATAAATATAAAGTATATCATTTTACATCTTAAAAAAAAAAACTTTTAAAATATGTAAATGTATGAAAATTTATTTTCTTTGATTATTAGTATTATAAAATGTTTCTGATAATATGATTATTTATGTGTATGATAACATGAAATTTAAATAACATAAAATGTATTTTTTAAACTTACAGCAAACAAATTAATGTCTTTATATTTGATTTCATTTAAATTCTACTTTCTTAAATTCAAAATTTAATTATAATTCTGCATTTTAATTCTGAATTAACTTGAAATGAACCCTGTTCCTAACCTTTGTATTTTCATTTTTTTTATTTTTATTTTTTTATGGCAAGTCTGATAGGTGAAGTGGAGCTTGGAGCTCAGTCAGTTGTGTATGGACTGGCAAATATTGCATACATGGTATATATTCATTAGTGTGAAAGTGTTTTATTTCAAGGTTGTATGAACACTTAAAGTCAGTGGCGTGTGTTCAGTTCCCTGTAGGGTTCAGTGTAGCTGGCAATGTGAGAGTGGGAAATGCCATGGGAGCAGGAGATGTTGCTCAAGCCAAGCTCTCTGCCAAACTCTCTATGATTTGTGCAGCTAAGATAGAACAACGATTTTAGATTTTGTTTACAGAAAATCATCATTTTATGCCTGTTCTTTGCTAATAGGTTGCTTATACATCACTTGTGGTGATGTATACATCACTAGCTACTGTAAATTATTTTCATACCACGCTAATATTCTTATGGAAATGTGGAAATTATTTTATTTTATTTCATTTTCAGTGTCTGTTGCAGTGGTTTTGTGGTTAAAAACATTTGCTTCTTAACTATTTTTCATAATTATCTCTGCACTTTTCTCCTAATATCTCTAGTACTTAAGTGGTAACTCCAGAATGAACTTTGTTCATGTAGTACTTTAAATAGTGTTATTTTGAAAACAGCATTTTGAGAAAAACAAGACTAATATTGAGGCAATTGTTTTCTTTCCTTCATCTCAGAAGAGGCATCAGAATGAGGGTTGCCACGGTAATGGTTTTATTCGCTCCTTTCCATCTTCTTGATGCCACAGCGGTAAGTCAATAGCAGAGTTGTGTTAGAGCACTCGCAGCACTCATTAGTGTTAATAACAAAACTGACAACACCAACACATCGATCAGGAAAGTGGAGTTCAAACCTTAATTATATTGGATGTTATCCCTTATACTGACACATCTGAAACTACACTGCAAAGGGTCATCTGGGGAGAAAATGTGAATTATTATTTCTTCCTTCAATCCAATCAGGCAGCAGGTGGCAGTATAGTGAAAGGTCTGGGCAAGCAGAAGATTGGGGCAATCTGCAACCTTGTGGGATATTATGCTGTTGGGTTTCCTATTGGAATATTTCTGATGTTTGCTGCGAAATGGGGAATTTTTGGTGAGGCATATATGTAATGTAATAAATTAAAAATATATATTTTCTATCAGTTACATCTTATATATTATTAATTGTATTATTGTTGTTAAATAGAATGTATTATTATGTTTATATATTATATGTAATTAATTCATAACTTGTTTTTATCTTAATATTAATAAATTGTGTGTATATAATAATAATAATACACTAAATAATAATAATAATTGTATTTAATATTTATAATTATAAGTATACATTAAAATATCATTTAAAATTAAAATTAATATTAAATGTAACAGAAAAACATAACTAATAATTGTAAATTATATTTAATAATATTTCTAATTTCTATTAAAATACAAATATACATCAAAATTAGCATTTGAAACATTTTTATAATGATATTTAATATTAATATGTAATTCTGCTTTTTTTTTCTGTTTCACTCTGTCTTGCATTTTATGTAAACCATTACTCTAATCTCCTCAAGGTCTGTGGACTGGCCTGTTAATTTCCGTCTTCCTTCAGTCAGTGTTCCTCTCTGTCCTTCTTTTCAAACTGAACTGGAAGAAAGCCTCTGAAGAGGTGAGGAATATAGGATTTCCTTCATTAAAAGTTGATTTAGTCCTTTTCCAGTGCACTTAAGTGAAACTTTTCACTTTCCAGGCACAGATCAGGGCTGGTGTGCTGACGAGAGGGACGGATGATGGTAATATGTTTGTTGTGACACTTAACAACTCAAAAAGTCTGATTTTATTTAATGAGGCATGCTAATAAGTCATTTTCTTGACAGGTGCACAAGAGGACGGTGGATATATTGAGGGCTGTGATGCGAATAATGCTACAGATATGGATGGACTAGTGGATGAGCAGACCGATGCGCTAGTTGCTACAGTGAAGGTGCAGCTGCCACTGAGTGTGTTAGTGCTGCGCCGCGGTCTGGCTCTGGCAGCTATGCTAGCGCTCCTCGCTGCTGGACTCGTCGTTAAATTCTTTCTTAAGAGATGACGTTATAACAGCTGAAGGACTGGTACTGGGAAAATGTGTCTTAAATGAGTGTCTTAAAACAGACAGAGAGTCCAGCCAGTGCATGTCATAGGATGCCACCCAAAAGCAACCAGTGCAACATGTTCATTATGTCCACTTTGTATTGTATCTGAAAGGCAGGTGAGGCCTGGCAGGCACAAAGCAGGGCAGCTTTCTGGGATTTCAGACAGTGTCCAGGCATTAAATATCAAGGCATTGTTTTGTTTACATGACATTGGGTAAGTCATTTTGTACTTACTCGTTTTGTATAAATGTTTATTTTTATTGATATAAATATATGTATTAATCTGTAATTTACTCTGTTAAACAAAAACGACCTGTACAATCCCAAATCTTGCAATAAATCTGCAATAAAGCTGTTTTAGCATATAAGGCTATACTCTCATTCCCACATGCTCTCACATATTTATCATCTCATGAATTTATATTAAAAAGAGCAAATGTGTTGCAGCAAACACAAATGACAAACATGCATACCAGAAACCGCTTTAAATGAATGTTATTTCATGGACTATTAGTTGAAATGCACAAAAATCAAAAAGTAGATAGACACACATTGTCATTGAAGTCACCATGAAATTTAAATTTTATTCAGAATAAAATGGGATAGTGATTTATTGACCCAGGTATTTCATTTGTGATAAGCTGCTTTAAGTCAACTATGTGCAATCTTTGCAGCGGTTTAAAAGTAGGAACTAAATCTAATTATAGATTATCTTTTTACAATAAACAGTTCTTAAAATGAGGTGTGCTGGAACACCTACTGACTGTCCTCCACAGGGCATGTGCGTGTTTATATGTCTTGTTCCATTTAAATCATGTCACTGACTTCATTAGTTCCAATGAAACAACCCCCACTAATATCACTCTTTGCTCCCAGCAGCTGAATTATCTTTCCACACATGACACTCATCTGAAAACAGCCCAGAGTCACAGTCACATCAGACTGTTTAATCTGCTCAATTCCTATGCTTAGTTAATACTAATGGCCTAGAGGAGCCTTAAACATTTACATACAGTATAACAAGTTAACAACAAACAATATGACAGCAGAGCTCTGGATAGACATAGCAGCATGTATGTGAATATATTTATGTATTCTTAGTGGTTTTATGTGTCTTATGAAGTCTTATAGGCTTAAAACGTAGGTTAAAAATGCAGTAATATATTATTGGTGCATAGTGTTTATGCATAAAACCACTTAAATTTAAAAATAAAAATGATTTACAATACAAAAAAATATCAAAAACCTACCAAATATATTAGTCATATGTCAATGAAAAAAACACTTAATTTTGCATTCATTCATTGCCTGAGACCTTAACCAGATGGAGATACCACATTGTGTCACTTGATGGTTCTATAGTTACCAGTTAACATTTACTGTAACCTTTAAAAGCTCAATTGTGAGCAATCTCACAAAAGGTTGCACTATGTATACACCAGACGCAAACCACATGACACGGCAAAAGCAAATAGAAAACAATATAATCAATGATTCTCTCTACACTAGATTTGGCGCAACGGCAATTGACGTACAATATGCCACATGATTGCACTACTTCCAACAGTTCATATGGATCAGCATGCTTCCAATGTGGGACCGTTTTCACATAATGTTTTTGTGTTTAAAAACGTGAGACCCAAGGCAGTGTAAAGGGCTGTTCACACAGAATACGTTTTTGTATTCTACTGCACTGTGTTTTCTTTGTTTTTCCTATGTCAACGTGTTTGACCGTTGTGCTTGCATCTCATGTCTTTTGCGGCATCTCATGCAAGACACTGTTTTCTGAAAATGTGGCACTCAAGTTAATGGCCACATTTTTAGAAAGGCATGTTGAAACATTGTTGTCTATCGCACTTTTTTACATAGAAAACAGTTGAATAGCAACACAGTGGAATGCAAAAATGCGTTCTGTGGGAACAGCCCCTTCTTGTGCCTTTCGCAGCATCTTGCGCATTACACAGTGTCATAAATAGGCAGCAACCTTGTTTTTTTCCATTCCTCTGCCCTGCAACTCGCATTTTAAGTGCAAAAACGCTTTCTGTGTGAACAGCCCCTCAAGTTTCCACCATTCCACCATGTTTAATAATACAGATTTCTCAATATATGACAGTGGCCCTGTTGAATATCTTTTTGGCAGTATTTCTCCAGCAGCCGCCTGACTAGAAATGTCAACTGAAGAGATTATATGACTGTGTCACTGGGGAAGAGACCTTTTTGCTGCTAAGCTGGTCGATTTTATTACTACTCGGTCTAATGCTGTGGACAGCGCAAGTGCACACAGAATAAAAATGTGATCATCTGTCTAGGTCACAATATACAGCCTGAGACCAATGTGAAAATGCTTCTATATTTCTAATTCAATACAATTTCTTTATTACTTTTCATTTGCACAGCACAGAGATAGAAAACGTTCACAGTGAATCTATCTGAGGTCCAGGTTTCAAACGATACTCACTGACTAGATGGGAGTGGCTGTCGTAAAGTTTGAGTCTGAAGTAAAATTTGCACCAGCACCATAAGATACGTTAGGTAAAGGTACAGTGAGATGGACGGCTATCCCTACAGCTAGGATGAGAAGAGCAGCGAGGGTGGTCAGACCCCTCCTGAGGATCAGCTGAGCGGTAGAGAGCAGAACTGCAGGCTTTTCATCCATGTGAGTCACGTTTGGCCCCTCGTGTACCACAGTATGGTTGAGCCCCTCATCCTGATCGTGAGAGCCCACAACCACATATCCATTCCCATTCTAAAACAGTAAGACACAATTCAACCATTATACTATTAGAGTTTTTACTCTGCCATGGGCACCACTTCTTTAAGAGGGCATCTTAAAAGGATAGTTCATGTGTATGACTTATATATGGACCTGTATGACTTTGCTTTGCTGAACACAAAAGAAGATATTTGAAAAAAAAAATTCTGTGTGTGTGTGTGTGTGTGTGTGTGTGCGTTTTTGTGACAAATGAGGACATAAATTTGTATAATGACAAGGGTATGACATAGGTATTACAAGGAGAAGGTGACTTTTCAGGACATTACCCCATGTCCCCACTTTTCAAGACGCATATAAATCACACAGAATGGAGTGTATTGAAAATCTGAAATAGCACAAAGTTTCCTGTGAGGGGTAGGTTTAGGGGTAGGGTTGGTGTAGGACAATAGCACATACAGTTTGTACAGTATAAAAACCATTACGCCTATGGGATGTCCCCACTTTTCACAAAAACAAACCTGTGTGTGTGTGTGTGTGCTGTCAACACAATCAAAGTAAATGAGGTCCAATTGTGTTTTTAAACCCAATGACTTTCATTATATGGACAAAACAGTTTAAACATTCTTCATAATATCTTCATTTGCATTTCACAGAAGAGATTAAGTCATAGTTTGTTATCATAGGAACAACATGAGAATGAGAAAATGACAATTTTTCTTTTCGGTGAACCATCCGTTTAAAAGTGTATGTATGAATGTACAAATCAGCAGACATCATTGAATGCATTAATTTTTTAGTATGTTATTTTTGCAGTTAGGTGTAGTAAATGAATGCATTAAACTTGTACTGTAGTTCTTGTTGATTATTTAAAACGAAAACGACTAAGACAGAAAAATACCTCTGCATTCAGGACCACCTGGTAGATGCTGTTGCGATGGTTCGGGGTCATTGCTCCATTTGCTGCTCCATTTGCACTCTTTCCTGTACGCTCAATTGCCTTTCAGAGATAAAGAACCACTTTTAGTCATCAATTCATCATATGATCATGAGCAATATAATTAGAAAAAATGTGTCGTTTTAATAGACCTGATATGCCTACCTCTTCTGTCATTTTCTTCCAGTTTAATTTGAAAATAGCCACAACGAAAAAAATTGCTAGCAAAAAGACTGCAATGAGGAGGCCTAGCCAAAAGCCTGAAAGAGTGGACAATAAATAATTGTATATATCAAAAGGTTCCCAGATTATTTATGTAACTGAACACCAGTAAATGTGGTAAGTGTCAATATGATGCATTTAGACAAACCAGCAACTTGTAACTTGGCCGTGAACATTAGAACAATGCCTGTTGGGAGGCCAATGCAGTAGTAGCCAAAGAGGTTAGCAATAGCGGCTATCTTCTGCTGCCCTGTGCCAAGCAGAATGCCCATGCCAACACTCTGAAAGAGAAAAAAAAACTGTAATAGAGCTCATAAAAAAATACTTGTGTGAATATTAAAATGAATATTCATTTGAATAATTAAACACAGCCACATGTATACATTATATACATTTTATTTCCGATATTTCAGTCATTTTTGTTTAGTTTAACTTGAAGAACTAAAATAACTCAAATTACTCAAATTAATAAAGACAAATGTATAAAAATATACAGAAATAAAAAAAAAATTGTGACAAAAACAACAAAATTACAAAAAATTTAACAAGAAAACTAAAATTTAACAAAAAAGTGAAAAATATATTTTTTTGAAAAATATAAATACATTCTAATTTAAAATATATAAAATAATTCAAAATATAATGTATATATTTAAATAATAAAATAAATATAAAACATATGAAATAATATTAAATATAAAATCAAATTTAAAAATTTACAAAAACTATCATTTATTATTATATAGTATGTAAACTATAGTTTATTGATGATACTAAAATAATACTGCAACAAAGTCATCATAAATTGGGCTTCTTTAGCTCAAACCATGCTAAAATGTTTCTGGAGACTGGCTCTTTTAAACTAAAAGGTAGGACTTCCATTCCTACAATCCTATACTGAGCATTACAATTTCACAAATCTCCTCCCCCTATATACTGTCACTGGTAAAAATCTTAAATGTGAGAAATAAAAGTTGTGTAAAACTCACCAATATTCCATTAAAGAACTGAAGAGGGCAGTAGATGTTCAGTAGCTGAGACACAAGTTCTGCTATAGCCCTTAATATGACAAACATCACAAAGTAGAAAATTGAGCAGCTGTTGTTGACATTGTTTCTGTTATATCTTAATTCTTAATGTGAAGACTGGAGTGTTTACAGATTTGTTAAGTATACTTATGCCAACAAACATTTTGTTTTATGCGCTTGAAATAATAAGATAAGTGGCTTACTCATCGGAAGTGAATATGTAGCCAATGACTGTTTTTGTGGAGCCCAGGATAAAACCTTGAAAGATTGCTATAACAGCTGGGGAACAAAATGAACGTGTTTACATGACATCAATTGGTGCTGCATATGACTGTCTAAGTGTTATGTCAAGCTTGGGAATGACTGATATCAAATGTTTTTATTACCTGCACTGATGAGAGACACCTTGCTGGTGAGGATGGCAGCAGCTGTTTCCCCAGCGCCAAGTGCGTTTCCCACACGAACACACGCTGCACCTTGCATTCCTAATGGGATCTGAAATATATGAAAGGAGGTGAACAAAAACAGCAGCATCATGAAAAGGATAAAGTAACTTTTTTATGATAATATGATGAATATTCTCAGATCATCCAAACACACCTTGTAGTTGATGTACGCCAGCATTATAACCACGTGTTGAGCAGCCAGGTCCACCTCACTCAGCATTCCTGATGGGAAGAAGAGAGTCATTCATGAGGGAATGATTCAATGAAAAAAAAAACAATAGTAAAAAAGAAAAACTGGTTAAGTATGCAAACATAAACTTATTTATTTTCTGTACTGTGAATGTGCCAGTGTTATTTTAGCATTATTGAGATACTATAATACTGTAGTTTTTATTAATATTTTGAATGTTTTTATTTTTATATCTTCAGTTTTCATTTTAATATTTAGTAATTTTGTTGTGTGTTTTTGTCATTTTATAGTTTTTTTTCAGAGGCCCCTGGGCACAAAGTCTTGTAAGGGCCCCCCACCCCACACAATCAAGGTCTTGAATTATATGATACTATTTTTCGAAACACCTCTAGCTTATACAGGATTTACACTGACAGGTTACAGTCTATGATCACAACCTGAAAGATAATATCAACACCTGCAGATATTCTCCATCATACAGGATTTACACTGATTAACACCTGTACACATCCTCCATCATACAGGATTTACACCACATGATTGCAACAATGCTTTCCTGGACCAACAGCAACAATATCAAGACATTTCCCTGCGTAGTGTAACTCACTGGCATATGCAAGCACATACTGCCTAGCCTATACCAATCCAGTTCTATGAATCAGATTCTTCCATAATTCACATACAAACACACATACACACACCTGTTAATGTTTAGGGGCTGCCTCTCTTTGTCTGTCTCTCTCCTCCTTTCCCCCTATTTTCTCCTACTCTCCTCTTCTAGTGAAATATTTCCATTTTTTTTTATATATTTCCTTCATTTTTATTGAAAACAAATGTCTTTCCGATCTGATATGTGATGTGAAAAAAGAGAAGAATGAGTTTGGCAAAAGGTGGATTAGAACTCTGGTCGATCGTGTCAAAACATAGAGCTATGTGCTTAACGCCCTACGATACTGAGCTTGTGGCATAACTTGCATCTTTAGTAATGTTGTCTATGTCAACCAGACATTGGTGGGTGGAACTAGTGTAAATAGCCTCTGCCAACAAGGTGGGCTATTTGCACTTAATTAAAATACTTAGTTTTTAGACATTCCGAAAATGTTTCTTCCTGGAAATGCAATCCATAATCATCCATTAGTGGACCTTACCGGAATTGCTGGCAAAAATGCAACCACATAGAGCTGTGCAATCCTGAGAGAGAGAAAGTGTCAGTCAGTCACCACCGATTGATGTGGACTCTAGTGCTTCAATGTTCAGTTTAAGCATTCAACAGCCAATATCAATCCAAATAAATATGTTTAATGAGTGTGTGTTAAAGAGTGTGATCGTCACCTGGCCACTTCAGGGTCCTGCCCCAGATAGAGAAGTAGAGGCTGGGTGTTCACAAGCAAAGCCCAGCAAGGCAAACTGAAGAGCGTCAGAATTAGGATGCCTCTCTGCAGGATGACACCTACACGGAGAAGGTTCTTACTCCCGAATGTCTGAGAGCAAGATGCAAGACTGCATAAGCTATTAGTTACTTTACTATACACTCTCAGAAAGCAAGGTTCAAAACCATCACTGGGACAGTACTTTTCGAAAGGTACTAACATTTACACTTTGGGTACTAATGTAAGTAAATAAGCACTTTAAAAGTACTAATATCTGCCTTTAAGGTACTATTATATACCATTATGGGATAAATAAGATACAAAAATTTTCCTTTTAGCTTTTTTACCTTTGCTCCGGTCAAAGCTTTTTCACTCTGATGCATGTTAATGGTTTGGAGGGCATCAACCTAAAAATGTCTTATGACTATAAATGTCATAACAGAATCTTGTTTTTACCAATTACTTTAACTGATCTATAATGGAAATAACACATAAAACCTGTTAATGCTATTTATGTCAATTTCTTGGCATATTGTTATAAAGCATTTCATTTATATGGGATGCAAGATGTCATACAATATGCTTGCATATAACAAATAAGAATAATTCGTATTCTAATGCCTTTGAAGTATTTTAACACAAAAAAGACAAGTTATTTATAGACCTCAGTAAGGTTAGATGCCATATTGAATTTCTTACAGATGAGAACGAGGCTGTGAGGGATAAACTAACGGCAAGCACTATATAAAACTAGATAATTTTCACAACTTTCAAAACTGTTTTGTAGAGATTTTGTCAACTGAAAGATTTTTTTTGGAAAGACATTTTATCAGATGAACAATCGGTATGTTGTTAAACAACAGTACAATCCATTAAACGCACTGTACATCAGTCCCTCACAGCCTCATTTTCATTACTGTCAAAAATTGTTGTGTGATTCACGGTAGCCCTTTCATTGTTTACATTTTTTTTTTCATTTCAGACTTTTGGTTTATTATTTTATTAGGCAGTTGGAGTGCTATTTGTATATAAAACACACCTGTGATACCAAAGTGTCGCATGCCAAAGCAAGTCCCAACCCCGTCGCTGCAGCTGTTACATTTATTGTCTGAAAAACAAATAGAACACATTTTGTATTGCTTAATGCTCTATAACTATATTGCACATCTTAATAATGTGGTACTTAAAACATATTGGGCGGCAGAAGTCTTGAATCAAACAGACTTACAGCTGAGGCCATGGCGTAGCCTGCTAACACAGTGTTCCCCAGGCGGCCACAGAACATTGTCACCACAAAGAAAAGGAGGAAATTCAGGAACCGGCACACAAGCTAAGAATACAAACAAATAAATATTTAGCACAAAATGAAGATGAAAGTACTGGGCTCACATGGATGAAAAACAAAGCACCTCTATTAAGATTCATGACAGAATTTTGTTTGTAACCAATTTCTTTAATTGATCTATTTTGGAAATTAGTTAATGTGATTTCCAAGCTATTTATGACAGGTATATTTTTATACAGTATTTATTTGATACAAAATGCAAGACATATCATACATTATTATGGCTGCATTTAACAATGGAATCAACTCATTTAGAATTCAAATGGACATGCATGAAGACATAATACAAACTGTTCCCAAAACAGATCATGGTCTATTCAGTAATGGATAATTTCTGTGTAAGCAGCTGCATTTCTCTGCCAGCCCTCTACTATTCATACAGAACAAGCATAGCACATTTTCATGATGTGTATGTGACAGACTCCTCACCAGGGGTCCAGTCATGCGCAGGATGTGGTATAGCTCTTCTCTATACACCAGAGGGATGCAACGCCTCACGAAACCACAGCAAAACAGCTTGGCACTGGGCTCCATTGACAGGGCTTCAGTTCTGGGACTCGAGACATCCATGATCTTCTCAGTTGTAATCCTTGAAGACACTGTAAGAGGCCTGGTTATGCTTCATAGAATGTAAGGGGCCCTTCTACAGCTGTTCATTCTTCAATTCCACATTCAGCACCTTTGAAGGCTTACAGATTAACTGAGGTGAAGACAATGTGAAGCTTTGATTTAATCCACAGGATGGGAGGAGGATGTTTGCAGTCCTGGAAAAGAGTTGTCTGTGACGATAGATTGTTTCACAAGATCAATCAACCCTTTTAAAAATCCAATTACAAGTTGATTAACAACTGTGCTTACAACATAATAGTAAAAGTAATAAGCACAATTTAATACAGGCAGTATTGCCAGTACTGAATTCAATATTTATAGTTTATTTTTTAATATTTATAGTGTATTTGCAGTAATTATGTAACAGCAGAAGACCTCCAGCTCTATGTAACCCATGCCCAAGTTACAACCTTGGCTCTAGCTCCACCACAGCAACTTTAAAAAAGCTTTACATATTACTTATTGTTACTTAACTTATTGACTTATTGTATCACAGCTTGGTGGAACATTTACTAGTGTAGTGTACTCTGAAGTATATGAAAACTACACAGCATTCTCAAAAAAAAACAACAACAAAAAAAATATATATATATATATATAAATTTTTCAGCATCAAACATTGATATATTTTTTTATGAAAGTACTGTATATCTCGAGTAAAAAGTACTAAAAAACTACTATTAAAATTATTACAAAATTAAGTTAAAAAATAAATTTTTACTTTTATTCAGCCATTGGATGCATTAAATTGGTTAAAGGTGATAGTAAAGACTTTTACATTGTTACAAAAATATATATTTCAAATAAATGCTGATCTTTAGAACTTTCTTTTCATTAAAGAACCCTGAAAAAATGTATCACAGCTTCTGCAAAAATATTAAGCAGTGCACACTGAGCAAAATTAAGCATATTAAGCAATAATAAAACTGTTTTAAACATTGATAATGATAAGAAATGTTTATTGAGCACCAAATCAGTATATTGAATGACTTCAGAGGGATCATGTGACACTGAAGACTGGAGTAATGACTGCTGAATTCACCTTTGCCATCACAGGAATAAATTACATTATAAAATATATTAAAAGAGAAAACAGTAACTTTAAACTGTAATCATTTTTCACAATATTACTGTTTTTACTGTATTTTTGATCAAATAAATGCAACCTTGGTGAGCAAAAGAGATGTTTTAAAAACATTAAACAATTGTATATATGTAAAAGCTTCTATATTTATATATACTAAAACCTTATGCTACTAAATAATCAAATTCTCAGGTTTTTGATACTCCACATGACCTTTGGTCTTTTCACTTTCAATGCCCTTCAGATTACAATGACAAATATATATATTTTTTGCCTTGTGCATGCCATTCACATTTAAGTTATCTCTCTTTTTCACATCCCCCTCCATGAACCCATGTGAAATGATTCATTCAGCTGCTCTTTCCATTCTCAAGCTAGAGCCACAAATATGACTTTAACATTTCAAAAGCAAAGATTTGTTTATCATTACAACTTGCTTTCAATTGTCTTTTGCCCGGTAATGTCACTGTAATTGTAGATCTATTTTGTATGTGAGTGCATCTCACAGTCATGAACATTTACAAACAAATCAGTGAATCATCAATCAGGTTCCTGGAAACAATTTCACGACTGACTATCTGTTGTACATCAGACTCATGATGTGTTGGATCATCATATACAGTAGATGTGATTTCATACAAAGGAATACTTTTTTTAAGGAGAGAAGCAAACATTAACATGTCTTCCCTTCCTCCTCAGTGCCTCACACCAACCTTTGAACCAGTGTGAGGTTCACAAAGCTGAAAGATCTGGCAAAATTTCAAGAAAAAGAATAAGTAAAAAAAAGAGCGAAAGAGAGCGAAAAAGCAAAATTATGTTGTAACAGCTGCTCTGAGTTTCTACAAAGCTGGACTGAATTTTAATATTGCAAATGTGTGATGAGTAACAACTTTCAAAGTAGCTTTATTTCAATTTTTTTCTATCATTTGCCAAATAAATATTGTGCATACACCAACCTGTCTCCTTTTATTTCTTTTTTAGTTATGTTTAAAATATTAAGGATGTGTGCTAAGGATGAATACTGGAACATCTGTTTTTATCATTTTCATTTATCTTTTTTATTTAAAATCAAAACAAATCAAATCAGGAATGCCCGATTATATATAATATGATTTAAAGACTGCTCATGATTGAAAACTCTGCAATTGTATTTGTTGTATGTTATGCAAACCTAAGATGTTTAAAAATACATGTTAAAAGTGCTTTGTATTTTGTTTCTTTTTAATAATCAGTGTCAGAGGACGTGAGTAAAATAGGAAGAGGGTACAAATCCCTACATTTTTTCTAAGGATTGTTGCATTTTCCTTTCTCATTACTGCAGAACATGGTCAGCAGATGGGACTGTTTCATTCAAGGTGACCATAAAAAATTTCTGCCCTATGAATCCCTGGGGAAAAGGTAAAAAATGTAATGGATTATGCTATCAATGTTGTTCCTGAACAATCTCAGTCAAACATGAGAGTCCAAAACATCAGTAATCGCTGCAAATAAAATCTACGATTTCAAAAAAACACAAAGAAATCTGCAGGTTTTCATATAAAATATTATTTTCTTAATCAGTGTTTTATCTTGTTAAAACTAAATATTCTTAAAACCAAATATATTTGCTTTTTTGTTTCTCGTTTTAAACCTCAAAGATTTATATATATGTGTGTGTGTGTGTGTGTAATGTTTTAGCAATTATAAAATGTGTTTGGGAAAATATAACTTTCTTGAAAATGGCAAAACATAAAATACCTGGCATATATGTATGAACAGCTACAGCTCTAGCCTCTTGTTTTCATATTGAGATTGAAGTTGAATGGATTAGAGATGAAGGTGTAGTAAAGTTTGAGTCCGAAGTCAAATTTGCACCAGCACCATAAGATACGTCAGGTAAAGGCACAGTGAGATGGACGGCTATCCCTACAGCTAGGATGAGAAGAGCAGCGAGGGTGGTCAGACCCCTCCTGAGGATCAGCTGAGCGGTAGAGAGCAGAACTGTGGGCTTTTCCTCCACGTGTGACTCCTCGTCCTGATCATTCAAGTTCATGGTCATGTACTCATCCCCATTCTGAGAGCAGACAAGACATCAAGCTCAGTTTCAGAAATGTTTTGTGTTAAGATACAGTATAAGTCAACAGACGTACCTCTCTGTGAGACTATGCGGCGTTGACACTGCAGAGATTTTACTCTTTCCAGCCCTTTCCACTGGCTGAAATGTTATGGATGTGCCATACATCAAGTCATATAATTGATGACAACAGAAATTAATTAAAAGCTTGATTTTATTTGAAATTACACTTGCATTTCTGAAAGGAAACAACTGTAAGCTACTGTAGTGCAAGCTAATGTTAACAAACAGCTTTAAAAAGCTAATTAGACATTGTTTTATCAAACTCATTGTTTTATAAATCATTATCCATTGTATATGTTTTGTTTACTGTATATATTTATTACAAAAAAAAATCAATTTTAGCTAGCAAATTTCACAAATGCAAACACATGGCATGTAACACAATGAATTAAACATTACATTTTTAGGTAGAAAGACTGAAATAATATTTTCTTTTAATCTTGTTTTAATTACAACTTTGTAAAAGCATTATACTTTTTTAACTTTAAAACAAAAGTAATGATTTTAAGAAGGAAAAAAAAAGAGTGCATTTGGAAAAGACAGCCATCTAAAACCATGCATAAAAATAAATCACTTGTCAATTCTTCTGAAAAAAAAAAAGTAATAGCAATGTAAAGTACTCACAACAAGACCATCAAAGAACTGAACCACACACTAGACATTCAAGAGTTTGGAGGCGAGCACCACAATATGCCTACAAAATAAAACCAATCACAATTTTTGCTGATGCACGCACAAGACCTTGCAAAATTGCCAAGGCAGCTGCATCCAAATGATAAAGGAAAAGAAAAAGGACATGTCAGACACAAACAGACAGTGAAAGATGAATGTGCCTCAAAGGAATATGACTGTTTGTAAACCTGTGCAGACGAGGGACACCTTGCTGGTGCGAATCGCTCCGGCCGTATCTCCAGCTCCAAGTGCATTACCCACACATACACACGCCGCACCTTGAATCCCTAATGGAAACTGACATGGAAAATACATAAATGTTCCAAGGTTTGGGGTCATTTTATATTTTATAAATATTTGTTTTAAATATAATTTTATAATGTATATATTAATATATTTTTATACAATTTAATTTATTCCTGTGATGGTAAAGCTGATTTTACAGTACAGCAGCCATTACTCCAGTCTTCAGTGTCACATGAGCCTTCAGAAATCATTCTAATATGCTGATTTGACTGATTTGATTCTCAAGAAACATTTCTTATTATTATCAATGCTGAAAACTATTATGCAGTTATGATTCTTCGATAATTAGAAAGTTCAAAAGAACAGAATTTATTTAAAACAGAAATATTTTAAAAATGTCTTTACTTGTCACTTTTGGTCCATTTAATGCGTGCGTCTGTGCTAAACAAAAGCATCAATTTATAAAAAAAAATTAAAAATTAAAAATTTTCCCCCAAAACTTTTGAACGATAGTATACATGTTAATCTGAGCGAAAAAAGATTGCATACCTGGTTCTGGAGATGCAAAAACATAGCCTGTGTGAAAAGAGAGAGAATGGGAAACTCTGCTGGTTGAAGATGGGGTGTGTATCATATTTCAAGCTATATCATGTAAATTATGTGACTGAGCTGGCAAGAGGAAAATTGTGCTATTTTTTATGACTCACTGGAACTGCTGGCAGGTAACAAACCACAGAGTTGAGCTATCCTGAAAAGAAGCACATTTGTAACTGTGATATAGAGGACAAGGCACCATAAATGATTTCAAAAATAGAGCTGTGAGTTATCATACAGCAGAATAAA